GAGTGTACGTTTAATTTTTTTGTGTGTATATAATAGCCACATCATTACTCTTTATTTGCACTAAATAAATTTGTCTAGTGCTCACAAAAAAATTTTTTTGTGGGAAAAAGGAGTATTTACTCCAAAATTCAGAAATGATTTCCGGTTTTCATTTTTACTAAAATGCATTCATGCTGATTTTTTTTTCTCCTCTCTGAATCTTGGTACCTTTTACGTGCAAGCGATCTTTTTTTTTGAGTACAAAAAGGGGATGTGTGTATATATTATCTATGCATTTTCCCGATGTCATTTGTATCAGGCTTAACTAATCAAAGAAACGTATAGAATTCATTCAGCGAGCATTCCCGTCGTGTTTTCTCTAGACATTAACTATGCGTGTGGGCCAAATTGTCATTCCTCGTTGCTTCGATAATGGTAGTTTATGCTGTTTTATCGCTGCTTCGAGGATGTGCGTTGTTGAGGGAGACCAGACAAGTAACAACATAGTATGGACAGCTGACAAGCATCTTGTGGTACCCAGGACTATTTCAGATAGAGCTTCTAAATTGCATAAAGTACATCAAGAGCCTTTCAAACTGTCCCGTATTGCTGCCTCGTATGCAATGTCGTCTCTTTCTGATCGGAAAGGCTACTCATCGCCCCAAGAACCCCCCTTTGTGTTTATAGGAACACGTGAGGAGGCATTGAGAGATTTCAACATGCATCTTAGCATGTCGCATGAAGCATTAATTGGTGGTGCACTTGCGTGGCGTGCAGACACTACTGCAGCGCGTGATGCAAAATCACTCGAGATGCCAGTATTTGCCTTGGATATAGCTGATGTACTCGACATAGATCGCGTCAGTTGCAGTTTTTCAGAGCGTCTGTGCCGTTTTTTGACACCGTCTGCGCCCCCGCAGGGGTCCTTTTCAGAAAGCCATCCTAGAAACAACGAGGCACTGGCGCGTGAATTGCACATCCCCCTGGATCTACTTTCTAGTACTTTGGAAAGTCAAAATGTATCGATGAAAGGATGGTGGTCATCTTTCTCTGTCCCACATCCAGTGCACGCGGTGAGTCAATTCATTCTGGCACAACGCTGGTCGTTGCGGGAGTGCTGTGTGAAGCTGCTTGGTATTTCAAACCGTGCATTCAACTACGCCTGTGTAGAATGTGACAAGGGAATATCTGAGTCAGTGCAGAGCTCCAACGAGCTACGGCACGGTCTTCCCTCAGACTACTGGCACCCCAACACAGTCTACGTTGCGCACTTAGTGGGGGAAGAGCAAACAATGTTTGAGTCCTGTGGACTAGTCCCTGAGCTGCAAGTGATTTCTTTCTTTGAACGGCTAAAAACCGTGGAGGGAGAAGTGCGTCCGGTTGTGATCACTATAGCATCATGCAAACGTTTGAATTGCCAACCTGAGAAATGAAATCCGTTTTTCATTCATTGTGAATTAAATATGAGTTCACGTAGTTCAATATTTATTTACACTTGTGATAGTTTTAACATGATATTTGTTGCTTACAATTGAAATAGTCCTTTATTTTGGATAAACATATCCAATGTTTTCGCTATTTCCTTGTTTCTGACTTCTTTTTTTTTTCCTGTTTGAAGCCTTTTCAGCTAACCTACCTCGACCGTCGAGTAATAAAAGTTATCACACATGCCCCCGAAGAACACTCAGAAGGCTGCTGCCCCGAAGGCGAAGGCTTCCCTGTCCTCGTCCTTGAAAGCCGCTGCGCCCGTGAAGGCTGCAGCGAAGAGCAGCGTGCAGAAGGCCGCCGCACCTTCCTCAAAGGCCGCTGCGCCATCCCCAAAGGCTGCTGCGCCCGTGCCGAAGGCCGCCGCGGGCTCCAGCGTAGCCGCCAACGGCGTGTACGTGAAGAACTGGGGCACCGGCTCCGTCGCGGACGCCCAGGCGGCGTTCAGCGCCGCTGGGAAGGTGCAGAAGGTTCAGATTCGCCGCCACCGCTACGCGCTGATCTTCTTTGAGAGCGCCGCTGGTGTGAAGAAGGCGATCGACCTCTTCAACGAGAAGGAAGTGCTTGGCCAGGTGGTGACGGTGGTACCCGCGAAGACGAGCCCAAAGCCAGATCCCCATCTGAACTCGTCGTGCGTGTTCGTGTCGCCGATCTTCCGCTCGTCGACGACGAAAAAGCAGATCATGGAGTTGTTTGAGGGTGTGGGAGTGCTGCGCCAACGCACGTACCGCCGCAACTACATGTACGCCTACATGAACTCGCCTGTAGCAGCGAAGAAGTTTGTGGAAGCAAAGAACGGGAGTGAGTTCCGCGGGCACAAGCTGCGTGTGGCGCTGTCTGCGAAGTCCCTCGATAAGCTGAAGGCGAAACAGCAACATGCCATGCTCCTGATGGCCGCTCATCGCCACCACAAGAAAGAACACAAGTGATCTCGTTTCATCGATGTGTTTTTTTCCAGCTTATTTAGGAATTCAACAACAGCTTTTCTTCTTTTAATTATATTTATGCTGTTAAGGTCAATATATTTTTTTGATTTTATAATTTTTCAATTATGAAAATACTTTACATCAATGCAAGGAATGGTTATTTCCCCATTTTGGGTGTAATGCTTTTCTTTCATTAGAATTTGTTTACTTACTTTTCTATGTTTTTTTATTTTCTTTACCTTTGAAGGTATGTTTTTCTTTTCTTCAAATATTCCAATTTTATGTAAATTTAGTTTTTTAATATTATGAATCCCAATTTAGTAAAGGCTGAATCTGAAAGCTCAGCTATAGTGTCTATACCAGAATATAATCGTAGTTATCATCATTCTGTTTGTAAGGCGTATAATATTATTCATCATGTTGTGAACACATTGCGCATGGACGTCACGGTCTTTGCAACGGCGATGAGCTACTGGCATGAATTTGTTCTTCAGCATGGACGTAAGAAAATTCATGAGGTTGTACTAGGTACCGCAGCCGTCTTTTTGGCTGGAAAGGTGGAACACTACAAACTGCGTGTTGATCAAATGTTGAAAATTGCGCTGGAGATCGACGTTGATAAAAATCCAAAGGGTGAGGATATAGAAGCCTGGCGACGCATGCTGCTGAATGTGGAGCTGATTCTGCTCGACTTTCTCAACTTCGATTGCCAGCGGAGCCATCCAATTAAGCTGCTGCTGACTCTACTTGAAACTCCTAACAACCATCCACCGTCCAAGCAGACGAAGGACGAAGTTGATATGGTCAAGCAGCTTCAACATGTGGCGCACTGTCTGTATATGATATCCCTTATTAGTCCCCTGTGCGTGAGGTTCTCGTTCCAAAAGATTGTTACAATTATCCTATACATGGTGGTTTATTTCTCTGGCAGTGAAAATGCGTATGCGCACATCTGGAAACAATATCCGATGCCCGCGATGGAGGAAAGAGATTACATTATCGGTGTTATAATGGATACTTTTATTTTTACTAGGAAGCAAACTGGACTACCCCAGCTAGATGACCTGATTGTTGCTCGACGGAAACGTGTACGTGAGGAAGAAAGCCTTCCCATGGAGACTCTGCGCTCATCTGGGTTTCACAGCAGCAGTGTTGGCAGTGAAAGCTATGAGGGCTCACCCTTTGTGCGTCCGATGGATTAGTGTGATTACTCAGGAAATACGATATAAACAATCGTTTATGCCTAATAGTGTAAGAGTGCATTTTTTAACTTATCAAAGGTTTTCTGTGTTTAGGTATTGGAGTGACCTATTTCCAATGAGTTTTGAGCCTTCTGTTGACATCATTATTTGTATGTGTACAATAAAATTATCCTTATCCTCACCACGGCTGTTTCATTCAAAGTGTAACATTTTGTTATGTCAGAAACATTGGTATAACTTAACCAATAAAGAGGGATATAGTAAAGGGGTTTTCATTCTTTACAGTGAAATTTTTGTTAATTTCCGCTTCGATTTTCTCATGCATGTTTTCATTTTAGAGTCTCCTGGACTCCGATCTAGAGGTACGTTTCCAAGTTTATTTTTCTCTGGCGACGTTGGTCCTTTGTAAGGAAGTGAACACCTGTTGATCTGAAAATGTTATTGACATTGGGCCCTCCTCGTGTTTACGGCTGGCCAATCAATTTTCTGAATGAGGAATTCATTCAACAGGTCTCTGTTAATGTATTTGGTGATATTCTTGTAACTGCTTCTCAGGTTAAGCTCCATTTTTGGTCGAATAAAAAAGAAATTGTGTACCTTGCATCTTTCCCCATTCCACAGTGTTCCATAGATAACAATCCAGTTGTACAGGTACTTTGGCATCCTCGACATGGAAAACGATTAGCTGTCTTCACAACACGTCAACTCCTTTTCTATGAGGTAGATATCATGATCGGTGGTGACACGTCTTTAGCGCTCACTTCAAGTGGAAATTCTAAGGAAACTGAAACGTATTCAATGCTTTGCGATACATCTTTGCATGCATATATTTCGAAGGTACTCTACTTTGAAAACGGTTTCGCAACATCAGTTAAACTGGCAGGGCTTAATACATTCACTGTCTGTACAACACTTGGTGTGGTTCACCTTATTGGCTGGGATACACAAAAGATCCTGAAAACATGGGACATAGAGAGCTTGCAGAAGGCTTGCTCCTCAATGGCTTGCAATAATTCTTGGACGCTGGATGGCTCTGACGACGCGCTTAATTCTTCCACATTGAATCAGAAAAATTCTTTGCTCAGTGCGACAACCTGTGAGTACAGAGAAGCAGGGATGCGACAGATCAAGGCAATAACACCACCAGGTATTGCTGTAGCGGTTCGCCACAAAACTAGAAAAACAAATTCTATGGTAAAGACGTCACTTGCTGCGGAAGGCAAACTAGAAGACATCCACACCGAACCTTACGATAACACAAATCATACCATTGACGGCGTTCTTCCAACGTCGCGAGCGGTGCATTCGAATCTCATTCTCCATGTTGCATTCGCGACTTCTTTATCCATATTTGCCTTTGTTCTGTCCAACGACTGCGTTTTTTTGGCAAGGACCTATTCTGAAGCGGATCTCACAAATACGAATATAGCACTTCATGGGCGATTTCATGCGCTAAAGTCTGTTATGATGGTCTGCATAAATGCTACCCATTCTCTCCTAGCGGTGGCTTCGCGAACCAGTGAGGTTTCTTGTCACACTGTGGAGGCCTCAAGCCTCAGTTTCTCCACCACGGCGATCTGGCGTTTCAAATGCGAACGATTCTTTGCCTGCCCACATGACGTTATGAAAAGTTTACCCGTCAGCGATCTTCAGTGGAGCCCTGGAATGGAGGAATTGCTATGTGTTGGCTTTGATCGCGCAGGCATTGTCGTGCTGCATTATAGTGGCATCTGTGTTATGCGATCGTTAGTTACGAATAGCACGATACCAGGCGACGTTATACAGCCATTTGACAACAAATTTGAGGAACTACATACCTTAAAGGGCTTTCAGGCTCTAAGTTGGACTCACCATGCCACCCGTTTATTGGTTGTGGGCTCCCAAAGCAAGTATTTATCAGTTTTTGACTTTGCACGTGCGCTTAGTAGTGTAGAAGTGGGTCCATCTCTTAGTTTGTGCACACCTTTATTCTTGCTAATGAACGATGCGCTTGGAATCGTTCAGTTTTCGGATGCTGATGGCCCCAAAGGTGTCAAGCAATGTGTTAGGCCACCACCACACTACCTTGAGGGCAATTACCCGCTGAGGTACGGTTCGATGTCAACCAAAGGCAACTGGATAGTGTGCGCTGGGTGCCGCGGCTGCGCAACGTATTCCCGTGCATCCCAAGATTGGTTTATTTTTGAGGTTTCCAACGAAGGAGAGCAGATGTCCTGCGTTGGAAATCCTGTTTGGTTAGACGATGTACTCATGGCAATGCCTGTAAGAAACAGTCTTCACGGTTTAGGGAGCTATGAAATTTCAGTGTATCATCCAATGTGGTTATCGCGAAAAAATGCCATTGCAAGTATCCAGCTACCCTGTCAGCCTCTTCTAGTGTCTGCCACTAATAGCTGTAGTGGATATGTTTGTGTGTGTGTGTGTGATGCTCAACAGACCTTGCGCGTGTACAGTGGTACTTTATTTACAAAGGTACGTAGTTTTGGCCCAATAATAAGCGTGGATTTGGAACTCATCTTTATGACCACATTAACCGGAAGCTTGACAAATCCACTTTCGATGCAGCCAGTCTTGAACGATGCCACCAATCTTCAAGATTCGAAGACAAATCGCCATGAAATGCCCGTCATCCTTTTGCAACCTCACAAGGGTTCCGCGCTAGTGTGTTTACTTTTGAGCAAAGCGGCGCCTTTAAACAACCATCCTGAAGGCTGTCAGAAAGACGTTTCAGTACGTGAGGTTTTGCTGGAATGTCACGTATCTCGCAAACCGCCACATTCACGCATTTTCCGTTATTGGGTTGATCGCTTCAGTCCTCTAGAGGGGCTTCGTGTTGTGACTTTCGAGGACGATGGCCTTTTTTATCTCCATTTTGGGGATCTTTCCACCCCAGCTGTGTTTGTTCGTTTGCAAATTGCACAGAAGGGTGTGAATTTGATCCCTCTCGCGCTTTCGCCGTACGATGGCTATTTGCTATGTTTGTCAGAGCCCTGTGAAGGGTCGCGCAGTGTGCAGTCGCTTATTTGGCGTTGCCCCTCCCTGAACTTGCCCATGCTTTCCCTTCGCCCAGTTGTTTATGCACACTGTGTGTTGGCTTTAATTTTACATAGCGCTATAGATTTTCAAGCGAAGGGAGGGATCTCGTTAGAGGGGACTGTTGGAGATATTCGAGGCGATGTCGCTGATCATCCCTTTAGCTTTACTTGTACTGAAGCGCAGTTTTGTTGGCTAGAGACGATGCGTCAAAATGGTTCCTTTGTGGAGAGTATTGAATACTTTTTTGACGTCATTCTCGAAGAAGGCTTTGGGGTGGAGTTGCCTGGGCTTAGCCGGACCATCGCCATCCAGGCAATCACCCGCCTTCTTCGTTCCTACCCTGAGTTTTATGAAATTATGGCGGTTTGTCTTCGCAAGATCGATACCGAAGGCTGGGATACCGTCTTGGGTATTCTGGGACCCTTATTGGACTTTTGCCAAGACTGTGTCACCAAGCAGTGCTACGCCGAGGCACTAATTATGGTGCGGGTAATGTTATTGAACAGCTGCTGGGAACCCTCTGATTCACCGCAACCTACTCCAATAGACTCGCCTTGCACGTATACCTGCGATGCTGTGATAAAAAGCGACTCTGTTCTTACCAACCTCACTAGCTACCCAACTCCCAACTTTCAAAGAGAGAGGGGTGGATATTTTCAAAGGGCTTTTGAATGTGCAGTCAAGCTTTTTGGCCATGCCCTACGTGAGGAAAGTCTTTCCTCAGCGCGTGATTTGGTTCAATTTGTCTTTTTATTGAAAAACAAAGTAAGCTTGCCCTCACCTGCCTCAACTGATAAATTTCAGGCGGAGCGAAGTGTCATGGCGGACTACCCTTCATTACGCTTTGGAGGCATCACCACATCGTTTGCTGAGAAACACATGGAGGATGCCGAGGCGGCTTGCATGCGGAGTTACCATAACCTTTATGGTGAATATGAAGCAATTTCTTACTTTTTTTCAGATGGATCATCGGCGTCTTTGGAGGTCCTTGAAGATAAGCAGGAACAAAGAAAGATGGAGGTAATATTCTGCAGGTGTCCACAATTTCTACGCGAAGTCGAGTCGGTCGCGGTGGAACTGCTGCGGCAAGGCTATTTGTTACGCCTATATAGGTTATTCCAAACCTTCTCACTCTCACTTGAGCATTTTAAAGAGGTTCAACTGTCGAGCTTCGAGTGCAAAAGAGCGAAGCTCCATTTTGAAGGGCTGGCGTCATTGGTTTCCACGACTGCCGCTGTCGATGTTGCCTGTGTTTTTGACAGCCTACATATCGAGCTCGGCCTTCCACGCTCCTGCCGCCCTCTCGGTGACGCGCTTCCCGCTAATTTTATGCTTCGGCTTGATGGGAGCAATGCCCCCTCCCAAAATCAGAACCGATCCCTTTGGACTCAGGCTCAGGTGCTGCTGTTTGATGATCACGATCGACTATCCACCGTTAAAATGCTGCAGAAAATTTTTTATGGGTGTGCTAATCTCGATCTAGCATTTTCATTACTTTTGATGTCAAAGGCTAACCTTTTGCTCTCGCTCGCCACCTCCGCTGAGGATTCACAAGCGTTTCGCATTCAGGTTACGTTACTTAAAAAAATGGTTTCACACCCTATTTATCATGGTTATAGGCCCTTTCTGCATGACGTTATTCTTTCGTTACCACCCAAAGTACAGGAAGTTCATCGGACTTGACTTTTTTCTGTGTAATAGGTGAGCCGATGAGTGACTCATCATGTCGACGTTTTGTTTACTTCGGGGATGATGCACAATAGCGACCTTAGTTCTTATCTAGTTCAGCTCTCAGAAACATATTTCTTAGGACACACAAAATGAATGTTACCGCACGAGGTCCAATGGGGAACAATCTTATCGTTTGGTTTCAGCTCGCTCTATCCTTTCAAAAAAAAATTTTGTATAAGCTTAAAAATCGTGTTTGAATGACTTCAATTCAACTGCGTTTGATTAGCCATTGGGCTCTTCCGTTTTTTTATACCATTTTTGATTGGTTAATGAAAAAGAAGGAATACGCGCGTGTGAGAGGAACGAATCTATCATGAGTATTCTCGAACAATAGCCTGTATAGATCAAACCACAACATTTTCCATTTACCCCTTCTTTTGGTGAGTATTTTTAGGCGTGTCTCTGGATACAAACCCTCACCCTATCCATGTGAGGCTTACCTTCAACCCCAAATTCATATTTTTCTATTTGTAGGATGTCTTTATATCTTTCTGGCACTAAGAAGTAAGTTTTTTTCTCCGATCTAAACCCGTGACACCGTTCCATCCACCCACCCCACCTGACACCTACACGCGACGCGGTATTTCCTTCAACACCGTCTTCCCATTCTGACAAGGGGGTGACTTTAAGTAATTTTACCCGCTCAAGAAGAAAGAGGAAGAGGAGTGAGGGAATGGGGTTAGAGGTGTTTGAGATCGATTCCACAACACCCCACCACGGCGTCTACGTCGATCGCTTTTCTGTCCAGCGAGAGACAAACGGGGGGTGGGTCACGCTACGCGCCCGCACTCCCCTCAGCGCGGAGAATCACCAGTGGGCCGTCTGCGTGCTCGACCAGGGGGAGGCTAGCGACGGCTCCGGGCTCATGCTCGGCCTGCTCCCGCAGCTCACCCCTCAGCTCACGGCCTCGATGGAGAACAAATACATCTCAGAACTAGGCGGGTGGTGCCTCTCCCGCGCGGGGGACTCGTACGGCGCGTGGAAGTGCGAAAAATTACCGTTCTTTTCCGGATGCGTCGTGGAGTTTGATTGGGATGCCACAACAGGATCGCTGTACATCGTGTGCGGCAAACGACGCGCGACGGGGATTATTTCGTCGGCAACTGACTCCCATGCCCTCTATCCGGCCATATCTATGTACTATTTGAATCAAAAGGTTGCGTTCGTTTAGGTCTGGTTTCTTTACACTTGTGTTTTGTATAAATTTGGTATTTTTATGAAACAGGGGCTTGATTGGACGTTTTTGGTTTACATTTGGGGGAGAAAGAGGAGAAGGTGAGTAACCTGAATCTAACCCCCAATGCCCTTGACTTCAAGAATTTTTATTTTTGCGTATTATGTTCCTTTTTTTTCTCGAGATTAGGGACAGACTTGGCCTCCGTTTCGGCAACCATTGTGCTTATTATGTATACGATCATTGCGTCTGACCATCGTAATCATTTTACTAATATTGAGCGCGATGACGTCAACGAGGACTTAGAGCAGGATTGTTGAGGATCAGGACAGTATATAGAAGATAAATCCAACGTAAAAAAGCGACTCATAATCTAACAAAGACTGTGTATTTGAGCCATTCAAACTGATTATGCAACAATTCTATCTCTTTAGAATTTTTTTATTTTCTAAGACTTTTGCCGCAGAAAACCGTTTTCTAAGGAAGTACAGATCCCAAGTCATTCTTTTTTCTCATGTAAAATCTTGTGTAAATATTTTTTTTCTCCATTTAACTAGATATACTCTGTTATATTATTTATATCATCACATTCAGGTTTATTCTCATCACAGATTTTATTCTTAGTTGACATAAACAAAAGTGGTGGCTACCTAAAAATAGTTGAACATAATCTTCGCGACAAGCTTTGGATATGGGGTTAAACCGAACTACTTCCCTCGGTTCAGAATCAAAAAACTTTGAAGGAAACTCTTACAGTACCCCAACTAAGGTAGGATCTGATGAATTGAAGGCATTTTCCTCATTTCTCGCAAAGTACTTTGCATCTCCCGTTCTTTTCATTGTAGGAGACAGTTCCAGCTCCTTGGCGCAATTTTACCGATTATTACCAAGTGCGTTGCTTAATGCCGCAAGTTTATCTACTCCTTTTCGAGACAATCTGGAAAAACGTCTCGTATCTCACGAGCTCGCGGCAAAAGGACTAAAATACTGTTCCCAAGCGAAACAATTTATATCGATTAGCCCCTTGGGTGAAACTAAGACTTTCACATCAAATGAACCAAAGGTGGATGATGAGGCCTTTTCACTGAATGTAAACAGCAACTTTGACTTGTCTTTCATTGATCCCCATAAACATTCTAACGTAGCATGCACGAACGCAAATAGTGCAGGGACGAGCTCTCACCCAAAGGTGCTCTTACCGAGCTCACACTCAGAAAACAAACAGGTGCGTTGGGTTGTACCACGCTTTGTTTTCCACACCTGCGGCCTGGATGAGTTGCTTAAAATCTGGAGTCCTTGTGATAATGTGCAATTTATCTTTTATGTGAATACCGATCTTTCCGAGGAGCTATCGCAAGATGGGTACAACTCTTTCGAGCTAAGCATAAACCCCCCTGTATCAGAGGTTTCGAAAGGACTTCGTGCTAAGATTAGCACTATATGTTTGAAGCATGTTGAGTGCGTTTCTTTTTTGGATTCCCTATCGAAGTGGAAACGTAGTGAATGTATTGACGGGGTTGATGGTGTTCTATTCTTCAAGACTCAAGGTGTTGAAGCTGGCAACGAAAGTTGCTTTTTGTTCCCAACACTATTTCTGGAGGAAATATGCAAAACTTTCCCAATGAGGAAACAAATTATTTTTCAACATATGAGGAATGACATTGACCCGTTTTCTTTTTTTATGCGTCACTTGATCCCAGACGAAGAAACACGTCTGTTGAGATTTGTAGATGCTGCCTCTTCCAAAGAAATTGACGTCTTGGAATATGTTCAATCAGCATGGTATGATTTCATGCCACATGTCTTTGTGGACGAATACTCTGCTGTGCAGTTCAGAAAATTTTTCCAGACCGAAAATCATCGCTATGCACAGATTTTAGAAAAAAAGCTAACCCCTTTATCTCTTTCACTAAGAAACCCAACTGTAGATAATACAAAGGGTGACTTAGATGATGAAAGGCATAATATGGATTATTGTTCTTTTTGCTTTCCGAAAGTCCACTGCTACTTCCCACTTGTTGTACATGCTGGCAACCTCCTTCATCGAGATTGCTGCCTTACAGATATTTTCGTCTTCGAATTTTCGGAGTGGATTCTGTCGTTAGAAAAAATCGAATTGGTGTTGCAGCACGGTCACGCAGTGAACTTTGAAAAGTTAAAGCACTACCGTAATTACCTCCTAAATATAACCAAAGCGTATTTAACTTCTTACGATTCGGTGCTCTTAAATCTTTTGGTTTTCACAGTTAGCAACTACGTCCAGCTGCTTTCGCCCCATCGCTTGGCACTATGCTGGCCTATGACGGATCCTGTGGAGCGCATCCCACGCTTCGCTTTTTGCCTTTCCTACGAAGTGTCTTCTAATCAGTGGTTCAGATCTTTCAACTCCCTGTCGTCAGTCCATTCTTCTTTTAATTGTTTGTGGACCGATCGTCTGCATATAGACGGGGGGCTAAATGATAAAATGGCTGATCCGACTACGATGGAGCATCAGCTTCGTCTTCTTATAAACTTCTTGCGCGAAAGTGGCTGGGTCTTGATTCACCAAGAAGACCACCGCCTTTGGGATAGTGCACGCTTCTCAGTGCAATCGCAGTTTGTAAAAAAAAATGAGATCGGAACCGAAGAAACACGCCTAAGGCGCATTTTGCGTCTTATATCATCGAATAAAGACATTACGGTTGATTCTGGAATGTCGAGCCGGAAGCACGCTTTTCCATCGGAGACGAAGAAAGACACATCGACAAACATGATTCCTTTATCTTCACGGGATGTTATCATTACAAGTTTAGAGATCTGGCAGGCGGCTATCGTTCGGCCCTCAGCAGGCCTCTATTTGTGGCGTGGAATCGTCGTTTCCACTCTGAGGGGGCGGTCGGGCGTAGTGGTGAATTTCAAACCTATTCCAAACTTGGAGTTGGACTCTACTTTTATGCCGCGTAACTCCTTGAATTTCATTACGTGGCATCGGAACCAATGCCGAGCAATAGCGTCGGGTGGCGATGTTCAGTTTGTCAAACCGATGTGGAAACCTGCCTTGCCTCCCTATATGGAAAAAATGGAGACGCGCCTTTGGCCAGTAGTTTACTTTCCGGAGCAAAAAAGATTTGAATTAGTGTTCCCTACCCAATCAAAGTCCTTCTTCGTCAAGTACCCATATGTTTGTTTTGTATCCGCTGCACAGCAAAACAAGCTTCGTCAAGATCATTCCCTTTGTAATAGACAAAACGAAACTGATCACCACTTTGGTCTCTACGAGGGTCTACAAACCGGAGATACTTCAATGAGTTCGCATTCCATGCGTGTGAGTTCACTCAAGGGAACTGGCCAAGGCTCAGAGTCGAATAACCACGTTCAGGACGTTTCTTGGAAGCTTCCTTCGAAATCTAAGGCAGATCAGGAAATTATCACCACTCAACTTTCATTCCAGACCACAATTTGCGAGAGCGCTGCTTCGGTTTTCATTAGGGATGTTTTAAATTCCATAAATTGTAAGGATTGGCGGTTCAATTTCATTGTCAAGGTCTCAGTTGATCACGTCGACCTCCTCCATAAATGGCTTAAATTGCACAATTCATTTATAGCAAAGCCGTCGACAGGTATTGAGATGGCGTCGATTTCCCCTACTATGATTCCGTTGAAGCGGCAGCGATTAATCAACATTGCTTCTTTTCAAAAACGACCACGGGCTCTGCGAAGCTTGGTGGCCGCCATCCCTTCTCTATGCAAAGCGATACTTGGTTAAGTCAGGTACACTAATTTCACCTGATGTTTTTTCAATTTTAAGGTCAAAATAGATTTATTATACTCTTTTGAGTTAATTTATTATTTATTAATCATATTCTTATTTTCTGCTACCATGGATAATTTCCGAATAAGCCAATCTATCTCTTCCTATCTTTACTCAATGAAGTGTCGAAACACTTAAATGCAGCTATACTTGTATGATAATGAACCTAACACTGTATTTCAAAGATTCAACTCTTTTTTTTCTTATTTTGTACATCTCCTATATTAATCTTATTTTTCTTCTTAGGGGTCTAATCTTCTCTTAAATCACTTTTCATATTAAAGTCATCGTTCGATACACGACATTTACAAAAGGATAATATAATAAGTAGTTTACTTCTTTCGAAAACTACCACAAGTGTGCTTCTTTTCTCCGTCCGCGTCGGCGTTCTTTTCATTAACTGAGGGTGAAGTTAATAAGCGAAGACTAGTATACTGTAATAATTGACAACTTTAGAATAGTTGAAAGCCTACACGAGGGATATTGACTTCAGGAAATCGATTTCTATATCTAGAAATTCTCTTCAATAGAATTTGAATCTTTGTTCCAGGATTAGTATTGGCAACTTGTGTATTATCTATAGTTAGATAGTTAGATAAATAGACATACCTATTATCCCTAGTTTCAACTGCCTAATAGGTTTGTCTAAAAGTATTTTGTCCAGTTATAACCTTTGTGCCTCCCCGAGCTTTAAAACAAGCATCGAACTCCGCCAACAAGGCAGGTAGTGTGTAAAATTCTTATTTGGACCTTTCTATATATATATATATTTCTTTTTTGATAGTTGACGCTTAACTCCCAGGAGATGGCGAGACCTGGCCAAATCCAGCAACCCTTTTTTGAACCCGTAGGGTCCAATATGAACCATTTCAGCCATCCTGGCGAGAACTCCGCCCATCACTCCATGAACCTCTTCCGCCCTAGTTACAATTCCGCGGCGGGTTCGAATAGCACTAACCACGTCCGTGGCCCTTCGTCTTCCGCGGACCCTAGTCACCCTCCCCCCGAGGCCGCCAGTTCTAGTGCCCACCCCGGCGCGGGTGCCCCC